CGGGCGGGGAGACCGGCCAATCAGGGCAGGCGGGGGGCCGCGGGGGCGGGGCCGCGGGGGGCGCTGGTTGGAGGGAGAGGCCTTTGTTACTGCGGCCCGGCCCCCCCCCCGCCCCCCGCCCGGGCTCTGCACGGGTGCGAGGCGATGCTGAAGCCGGGCGCCCTGCTCCTCTGCGGCCAAGGCATCCTCCTCCGGACCGGGGTTGCAGACCTCGGAGCCTCCTCCTAGACACCAGGTGCAGATCCCAGAGCCTCCTTCTCCAGATCCTCCTGCCCCAGACCCGGGGCGCGCACCCCAGAACTTCCTCCCTCACACCCAGGGCTTCAGACCCCGGTCACTGTCCCCAGACCCAAGATCCAGATCCCAGCCCCCTCTTCCAGTGGGACATTGTGAGCTCCTCTAACAAACACTGTCTTTGGGGTGAAGATTTCTGTGTTCCTCCACCGCAGCCTCATCCCCAGTGCAACAGGAAATGGCGGGGGGGGGGGCCTGATCTTGGAAGTGAGGGTCTGGAGGCCCGGGCTCGGGTGTAAAATATGCAGCGACTCGGGTGTGACTTTGGGCAAGTCAGGCTCTTTCCCTGCAGGGTGGAAGCGCCCAGTTCCCGAGGTGAGTGAGAAGAAACAGGTCCTGGAGGGACCGTTGGCCCCAGCTGCAGTTAGCACCTTCCACATACTTCGCATCCCATGCTCCAGCCGTTGACCTGGGGCCCCCAACACTGGTCAGTGTGGGAGCCCCAGAGGGGGGCCAGGCCTCTGTCTACTCCAGGGAAGGGTCTAAGCCAGGGGAGCCCCAAAAGGAGGCCTCCGCAAACCAGACTGTGCCGGACACTCAGTGCACAGAGCTGCTTGGGAAACTGCAGCAGGCAGCGCTGACTCTGCCCAGCTATCCAGGCCCAGAAAGAGAGGTAACAGGAGCTGCTCTCTGAGAAGTAGGAGTTGGGACCACCAGACTCCTAGGGCTTGGGACTCTTGGCAAAGGTCTCAGGAAAATCCAGTATGTTATTAATACCGGCAAACGGCCTAGAGCATGGTGAACACCATAAAGGGCAGCAGTCGATGCTGAGCGACAGGATTGCACAGGGGAACGGTGCGGTGCTTGGGACCGGCCCAGCTCAGTCCCCGCTTGCCCTCACTGAGGGTTTTCCAGGGCCGCTGCACCTCTGTGCAGGCCTCAGCCTGGTTCCTCAGCATCCCCTCTGCCCCCCAGCCTGTCCCACTCTTCCTTGGTGCTTAGGGCGAGCCCATGCATCCTGTGTGTTTGTGTCCGTGTCTGTTTCTCAGGTGACCCCACTCCTCCCCGATCTCACAAAAAAATGCATATACAGGTGAGCGTTGCTTCTCCCAAATGCTCGGGCAAGGAGGGTTTCAGATTTTGAAAGGTCTGCAAATTTTACTAGTTGAGCAGCCCTAATCCAAAATGTGAAGTGCTCCAAAGTCTGAAGCTTTCAGAGGGTCATATTAGGGCTCAAAAAGTTCCAGATTCCAGAGGGGTTGTGATGAATGATTTTTAGCTTAGGGGTGCTCCTCCTGTAATACTGCTTGGCGGTCAGCTCTCATGGCCAAGGCCTCCCTTTACTTCCTGCACAGCAGAAATGGTGCTTCGGTCCTAAACTAGGTCTGCTTTGCAGTGGGGAGGACGTTGGACTCTACCATCGGGAGGAGCCAGACGGACAGACACTGCAGGAGGACCAGGCCATGTCCCCCTCTTCCTGTTTGGTCTGTGGGCTGCTGTTGCTCCTGTGTCCCACTGACGCCAGGTGGCAGGTGCAGGTCCATCCAGCAATGAATGGTCTTCACTGTCGAGTTTCAGTGGTATCACTCTGGATGGCTTCCCAATCTGTCTCGGACGCCTCCCTCTCCACCTCAGCCTGATGCGCTGTGAAGACGGAATTGTCTTCCCCCTGCCCAGGTCTGTAGTGAGCTCTGTCCTCGAAAACTTCCCCATCATCCCCTGGGCCACAAGCAGACTGGCTTCAGGGTGAGCTGAATCCCAGCCTGGAGGACAATGGCCCTCCCCAAGTTTGTTCCTTCTTAGGGCACCTCCCCAAGTCCTCAGTGCTCTTCTGAGTTATCTTTTACCCCTATAGAGGTCACCTGCTATACCTAGTAATTCCTTGTATTAAACTTTCCATGATTAAATCAGAAAGAAAAACACTCAGCCAGGAAAGTTGTTTAACCTTTCTGTTTCTCAGTTTCCTCATCCAAAAAACTGGCTTAATTCCCACTTCTTAGTGCTGTTCTGAGAGGGAACGGGTCACCAGACACATGGTAAGTGTCTAGCCTAGCTGAGTGGAAGCCGGGAAGTTTGGATGCCTTGCTGCCTCTTGTCCATCTATGAATTAATTTCCTTTATTTTCATACAGTTCTGGAATCCAGAAGTTAAGGAATCGAGGTGTCTACAGAGCCACATTCCCTATCAAGGCACAAGAAGGAGAATCCATTCCTTGCCTCGCTCCTTCCTGGTGGCTGCCCTGGGAACGACTCCCGCTGGTCTCTGCCTGTCTTCACATGACCTTTCCTCTTCTGTCTGTGCTCAAGGCTCCCTCTGCCTCTTTGTTGCTGTTGCTGGGACAAAATACCTGACACACTCAACTTAGAGGAGGAAGGGATTAGTTTGGCTCATGGATTCAGAGGTTTCAGTCCATGGCTGTCTGGCTTTGAGGCACAAACCTCATGGCAGAAGGGCCTTGTGGAAGAGAGCTGCTCAACTCATGGCACCTGGGGAGCAGAGAGCATAAAGAGCTGGAGAGCGGCCAGGGACCAAATATAGTCCCCAAGGTCATGTCCCCATGACATACCCAGACACACTCAGAAGGGTGCTTTATTAAGCCCCTAGCCAATCAGGTTGACAAACAGGATTAACCACTACAGCCCCCTCAGAAGGATACTTGAGATTGCATTTAGGGTTCAGCCAGATAATCTAAGATCATCTCCTCATCTCTGAATTCTAAACACCATCACATCTGCAAAGACTTTTCTTCTTCTGAAGTAGCATCCACAGGGCCCAGGATTCAGACCTGATGCCTTTGGGGACCACTGCACAGCCCAGCCCTGTCCGGCCTCCACCCTCTGCTCATCTGCCCCATGCCCAGAGGCTGACCCCTGCTGACCACATCTGGAAGCTCTCTTGTCCCTCAGCCTCGAGGTGGCCTTGGCTGGAGGGTGGTGCTGGACAGTGGCTGCAGGGTGGCTCTCCTTCCTCCCTGTGGGCCACTGACCTTGGCTCTGGCTGTCTTGCTGTGACAGAGGCAGGCGCTGTCAGCTGTCATCTGTCCCTCCTGCTCCTCCAGGACCCTGCGCTCCCACTGCTGGTACCAGGAACCTCCCTGGCCTTACACAAACAGCCCCTGCCTCACAGTGGCTTGACTTACGATTTCTGAATTCTGATGGCCTGAAAACGTGTGTGGTAGAAAGGGCACTTTGGGTTTTGAATCTGGATCTTTCCCTGGAAAGGCAGATAGATGCTCCACCACACTCCCTCGTGATGCTGGGCAGCAGTCGAAAAGGTCAACAGCCAACACTGTACAGTGCCATGTGGCTCAGCTGTGCTGCTCAGGACTTTTGTGTGGACTGCACTTTCAGGTTACGATGTTTGCTCCTTGGCTTATTGTGCTATGATTTCACCGTAGGTAAGGAGCTTCTATGTCTGCAGCCCTGCGCTCCCCTCTGGAAGTGGAGCCTTTCTTAGAAAGTCTGTTTCAGGAATCCCACTGCAGGGCTGACTCTTCCCAGCTGGGGCCCTCCTGATCCAGTGCCATCACTGGCTCCTGTCGCTTAGCCCTCAGGGCCTCCTTTATGCCGGGACTGAACAAGGACAGAAGCTCAGCGATGATGGCGCTTAGAAGGCTCATGGGTGTGGAAAGATGAAAGATGCTCAACTTCACATCAAATAAATGAAATTTTAAAAATCTCAATAGCCAGTCAGTGTTGTGGCGCACGCTTATAATCCCAACACTCTGGGAGGCTGAGGCAGGAGGCTGGCAAGTTTGAGCCCAGCCTGGGCAACTTAGCAGCTTAGCAAGACCCTGTCGCAAAATTAAAAAATAAAGAACTGGGGATGTAGCTCAGTCCAAAGGCCGTGGGTTCAATGTGGAATGGGTTCCAGGCTCCTGAGAAGCAGCAGAGCACGGAGCGCTGGGAGTAACGACTGAAGGAAGTCAGGTCCTCTGACCTGGGGCTTCTCACCCTTGCATCTGTGGGCATCTTGGGCTGGGTGGTCTGGCGAGGCTGTCTCGGTGCTGTGCCTGCTGAGCAGCATCCTGTCCTCCACCCACTAGATGTCACCAGCGTCCTTCTCCTGCACTGGTGTCAACCAGAAATGTCCCCGGTGAGGGGCTGGGAGGTTTAGTTAAGCACCACTGCTCTGAAAAGAACAAAAAGCACCAGGAACAGTCGTGGTCTCTGGGGAGGGAAACTGAGGCAGGAATCTGGTTTCTTCATCTTATTTCCTTTCATAAATTGTTCTTGCAAAAGTCCTCACAGGGCGTGGTGGCACACACGTATAATCCCAGCACTCTGGGAGACTGACGCAGGAGGGTTTCAAGCTTGAGCCCAGTGTGGGCAAATCAGTGACTTAGCGAGACCTTGTCTCAAGGAAATAAAGTAATATAATAAAATAAGTGGGTTGAGTATGTGACTCTGTGCAATCTGGGTCCAATCCCCGGTACCAAAAAAAATAAGAAAAGCTCTCAGAAATAACATATTAAAACCGAAAGTTGAGTTGAAACCACCGCAGGCA